TTTTACTTTTTAAAGAGGGGTGACTTACACCCCCGAAATCCCCCCACCAGGCATTGGGGGGGGGGGAATTCCGGGAGTTGAAGTCCACCCATCTTAAAGGTGAAAAGGTTGAGAAATACTGACCAGACCAACCCTGGGCTCAGTGCAGGACTCTACCACTCTTCCAGACAGAGTTCCACTGGTATAGCTTCTGAGTTGCCAAGTTCAGGGAGGAATCATGGAAAGTTTCGCCTGCTGGATTTCGACCTGCCAGCTGCCAGTCCAAACCAAACTGCTTTCCCCACTGAATGTGGGGAGGACCATTCCATTGTCCCCGTCCCCTTGCATAGCCAATGGGATTGCCAAAGGGAGGTGATGGGAATTGTAGTCTACACATCTGGACTACATCAGCTGGCAAACATGACTCCAAATTAGAATTAGTAGGTGACCAACAGCCCAATTCCTGCAGTCCCCAAGATTCTCCTAGATAACATGACTAAAATTTGGTGTGAAAATTTAGCTTTTTAAAAAAGTATTAATGTACAAAATACCAGAGCATATTAAGAAAATACATTTATTATGCACCTTGAACCCTTCACTCCCCCTAAATGTAATACATACAAATATGCACGTACACACACACACACACACATAATTTTTTTGAAAAAGGAGCAACCCTAACCCTTTTCACTGATCCTGCGGAGCAAAAGCAAGGAAAAAGCTGGAAACTTACGGGAAGTGCCGGAATAAAGATCATGACATAAACCTGAGTGAGTCTGGAGGGAGAAATGGCATAAATTTGCAATTATTAGATTGAGCAATCATGCTCATTGCTGTCCTAAAAAGCTTGGGTTTTGAAGTAGCCTCTTCCCGCATCACCTTGCGAGAAAAAGTAGCGTCTTTAGGGAAGCCCTATCTTGTGACTGCCCCCCAATTTAAAAAAATTAAAATAAATAATTTTTTAAAAATTAAATCTTCTCAACAAAATTCAAAAGGTCCAGCTTTGTGGGAAATCTTGTGAGGGGTCGTCTGATCTTGTGAAAGGCTGGTATTTTGAATGGATGTTCTTTACTGATGTGAATTTTGGATGGATATTCTTTACTGATTTGAAAGGGAGAAGCTTTGGAACAGACATTGGCTGTAGCAACCCCAAAGCAAATTTAAAACACTATATCAGATGTAATCAGGGGCCTGTCTGGGAGGACAGTCAAAAAAGTCAAGATGGCACCTGCAAATATATGATTGAAACCTTGCCCCTAGTTTAGGTCCCATCTTGACTTTTTTGACACCCCCCAAGGATGCCTTGAGTTAAGTGGGAGCAGATCACTGTCCCCCAATACTCCATCTCTCTTTTTCTGGCTAGAGCAAGATGGGGAATTCTGGGAGTTGAAGTCCACACATCTTAAAGTTGCTGAGGTTGAGAAACACTGTGCTGGAGGGTCCTTTCCAACATGACATCACTCTATTCCATCATCTTCAAGAGGACTCAGAAAGGCACATAATGGTGAATGATCGCCAAAATCTTCATGGGATAATTTTTAACCTCCAATTACTGCTGTTCAAAGGTGAACACCCACCCAGCCCATCCCGCAGTGCCAAAAAATGCCAGTCCCACCCACAACATGGCTTTAACTTGAAAGAAAGATTTTGGTTCCCACCTGGAGACTTCCGGATCCTGCCGGATCAGCAAGAGGAGCTGTTCGGTGTTGATAAAAAACGCCCAGCACGGGAAGCAGCAGAGCAGGAGAATCAGCACCCCTTGTTGCAGGATGGTGCCCACGCGTTTCATGTTCTTCCCGCCATAGGTCTGGAACAAGAAGGTCGCCCTTTGGTTCTCAAGATCTTGAGAGCAAAGGAAGTCCAAGGAGACCTTTTAAGAGCAAGGTGCCTGCAACAGCCCTGCCCACCAACAGCACAGAGAGGACCAAGAGAGAGGTGGCCATGTTCCACAATGACCTTAACAGCATCCTTCCAGAGGAGCGTTCTTGAATCTTAGTGTTGATCCATGGAGTTGGAGTGCTGGGTAATTGAATTTTGGAATTCACTACCCCGAGATGTGGTGTTGGCTACCAGCTTGGCTGGCTTCAAAAAAGGGGTGGACCACTCCCTGGAAGTCCTGGGGATCCTGGGCTGTTAGTGGGACTGCCTCTGAAGGCCATCTGCTGGGAGACTTGTGGGCTCTCTGGGGCAGTTGGTGGGCCACTGGGAGAAGAGACTGCTGGACTAGATGGGCCAGGGGTTCAGGTCAGCAGAACATGCCTTATGTTCTTGTATTCTTGTATTCTGAAATTCAGACTTAAACTCATCTGGAAACCCCTTGCTTGACCTTAGTCTGGTTGTTCTGTCCCAACCTAATCTACCTCACAGGACTGTTGTGAGGATCAAACAGAGGAAGGGAATAGTCTTGGCCACCTTGAGTTCCTTGGAGAAAATGTTCGGGGTTACTGAATGATAAATAGCATCGAATAAGAAATAATAATAAACTCTCTTCCAGGACAGTGAAGCAGACAAATCCACAGAAATAGATCACATAGGTCCTAGATGCGGTGGGATTTTAAGTAGCTCGAGGCCTAAAGAAGTCATGTGTTCTTTGTTAAGAACAAGTTTCTATCCTTAACATATATTCTGGAAAATACGTGGAATCTCCAAACATTAGAGCAGTCTTCCCAAACTTGACGCTTCCTAGAAGTCTTGGCACTACAACTCCCATCACTCATAGATGTTGGTCAGGGTAGCCAAGAAGTCTAGAGGGCATCAAGCTGGGGAAGGTGAGTTAGAACAGTGTTTCTCAACCTTGGCTACTTGAAGATGGGTGGACTTCAACTCCCAGAATGCCCCAGCCAGCATGGCTGGCTGGGGAATTCTGGGAGTTGAAGTCCACCCATCTTCAAATAGCCAAGGTTGAGAAACACTGAGTTAGAAGACCCCCTGAATTACATTCCAGTGTTGATGGTCTTTTTCCAGGATGATGGCTTAGCTTAGTTATGTTGAGGGTCTCAAATTTGGGGAACAAAAAATCAATAATAATAAGTCAATAAGTGAATTGAGGTAGCCCCTGTTCCCAATCAATAAAACTCATTATTTTATGAGGATAGGGCTGGGTAAGAAACTTACCTGTTGTTTTCTTAGACTTACATCTTGCCTTCCTTTCAGGAGCTCAAGGCAGCATACACAGCGCTCCCTCCTCCCACTTTTCCCCCCAACAACCCTGTGAGGTAGGTTGGGCTGAAAGAGGGGGATGGGCTCAAAGGTGGGGGGGGGCTTCTGCTGCTGGGGTCGGACGAACCTGGTTCTCCCCAGTGCCAGCCCAGTCCCTTCCCCATGGCACCCCACTGGCCTTCCAAGGAATTAAGCCTTTCTACATACCTTTTACCTAGATATTTTTAGATCCAGATTTTTTAGATTTCCATTTAGATTTTATCTGGATTTTTATCTAGATTTACTTCCCTCCTTCCTCAGCTTCTCCTTCGAATGACACCAACCCTGTGAGATCCGTGGATCAGAAAAGTTGATACAGAAAAGCGACCACTGGATTAATGAATTAAAAGCTCCACTGCGTTTCTTTATTTAGTCCATTTGGGGTG